TGCACCCCACTGTTACCTCTTCCATAGGAGTGCCATCAACATCACCCTGTATCCTCCCCCCCCAACCCCCCCCTTTTCCCTCTCTCCAGATGACCATCAAGATGCTCCTCATGTTGATCCAGATGGCTTCGCAAGGCACCACTGCTCTCGATCCCATAGAGGTGGCATCAACATCACCCTGTATCCGTCCCCCCCCCCTTTCCCCACTCTCCAGATGACCATTAAAAAGCTCCTCATGTTTATCGAGATGGCCTCTCAAGGCACCACAGCCCCTGGCCAGCCCAGACCCAAGATTGATATCGGCTTCCTGTGCGAGTGCCTTAAGGACCTATCGTAGGGTCAGCAGATGTGTGAGGGGGAAAGGGGAGGGGTAAGAGAAGTTATGTGTGAGTGAACGAAGCCCAGTCAGCCCAGGCCCAAGATTGACATTGGCTTCCTGTGCGAGTGCCTCAAGGACCTATCATAAGGTTGGCACATTTGTGAAAGGGGTAAGAGGGGTTATGTACGAAGCCCAGTCAGCCCAGGCCCAGGATTGACATTGGCTTCCTGTGCTAGTGCCTCAAGGACCTATCATAAGGTTGGCACATTTGTGAAAGGGAAAGGAAAGGGGTAAGAGGGGTTGTGTACAATGCTCAGTCAGCCCAGACCCAAAATCTACACTGGCTTCCTGTGCGAATGCTTGTCGTAAATCTGGTCTTTGACGGGGGGATAAAGAAGAGGGGGGGGGGGGGGGGGGGGGGGGGAGGGGGTTACGTGGGTGACTGTCCAGTGTCCACTGCTCCCAGGCAACCCAGACCTAGGATCAACAGTGGCTTCCTATGCGAATGCCTCGAGAGTTAACATTTAGGTACTTCTTCCATTGCTGCTTCTTGCCCTACACTTAACCCTAATGAGGACCTTAATCATTGACTCATGGGACCATTCAGATGGCATATGCAGAGAGGCATGCTGATATCAGTTTAATTTTTACAGTGGTTTAAGCCTAGACCCCCAAAGAAACTTGCTTTGTAACAGCAGTTTTACTAAGAAGCTGCTGCTCTGTAACAGCTCTCCCTCCCGGCTCATCACTCCCTAAGAAACACCCAAGTAACGATCCATTGCCACAATCCTCCCCTTGGCATTGCTGCTCTTGCCTGTCATGCGTTCCTTCACTCCTTTCTTCCGCTCCGCATTCGATTCTCTCTACCCCCTCCACTTTGTCAGACACACAACCCAGCTCGCCCCACTCTTCCCCAGCTGCCGTCAAAACACCCCTTCCGCCTCCAACACTCGTCCGACTAACCACCTCGTGTGCCACAACCACATAGCACATTCGCACCAGCAAGCAGGCCGGCGGAAATCCCAAGGGCCATGTTGGGGAAGAGGAGAGAGAGGGAGAGGTGGAAGAGGGCGAAGAGGGCTGCAGAGAGCATGGCAGCGTCGATCCTGACAGGAAAGAGAGGCAGGAAAGCGAATAGGACGGGAGGACAGAGGGGAGAGGCCCAGCGTCGATTCCGAGGGAGAGAAAGGAAGGACAGGATATAGTGAAGGGAGGAAAGAGGGGAGGAATGCAGGAGAGACAATATCAAGCGAGTGAAGATAGAAACGAATGAGTGAATTTGGACTGATGAGAGAAAGTGTGGGCTATGGGAATGAAGGAACTTATCAAACCAACAAAGTGGTAGCAGTGGAGACTTGCCAAACCTCACTACCGAGCCACCTGCCGAGCTTCTCACCTGCCGAGCTTCTCACCTGCCGAGCTTCTCACCTGCCGAGCTTCTCTTGCAGGGCCGTGAGCACCAGCCCTCTGAACAGCAGCTACTCTGCTACAGCCGGCGACACTGCCACCCACAGGAACAGCTGTAGCAGGTCCAGCAGGGGGAGGGCTGTGGCAGCTGTAGCAGAGGCAGCTTTAGCAGAGGCGGCTGTAGCTGTAGCAGCTACATCCCTTCTGTCCCATCTGGCAGCAACAAGGTTCTAGCACTCACACTATCCCCTCCACCTTGCTCCTGCTCCAGCTGCTGCTACTGTTCTGCAAATACCCCTCCCCCTCACCTTCAGCACTTGGTTAAGTGAAACAGAAGAACCCATAGAACAGGCACCTCCCTACCGCGCTTACCACAATTGCCTTTCATCAGCTACCAATTGTCCCTGCTAACGCTCCCCTCTCCCCATCTCCAAAAGATTGTATGTTAACGCTCGTTGGGACCCACAGAAGCCTATACCAGCCCTACAGTGTGACCCCAAACTTCTCCTCAAATAGCTTGTCTGAACAGTGGACAAATCGGCGCAGAAAAACCATCTTCTTTTGCATCTCCAAGTTCACAAGCTGCTGCTCTGTAGCAGCTCTCCCCCCTGGCTTGTGATCGCCTAGGAGTTCCTCAAGTGGCAGGTCACTACCACCATGCTCCCTCTGGCACTGCTGCTCTTGCCTGTCACCTGTTCTTCCGCTCTTTCTGTTTCCCGCTCCCCAATCAATCCCCTCCACTCCCCCCACTTCGTCAGAAAGTAAGGAAACAGAACCCAGCTTGCTCCCCTGCTTCCCAGATTGAATCGGAAAATCCCTCCCAGCTCCAACACTTGTCCGACTAACCATCTCGCGTGCCACAACCGCATAGCCCATTCGCACCAGTGCCACATGCCGCGGTCTGATTCGCCGATCCAAACTCAACCCAAGAAATGGCGGGTAGGCAAGAACCTCCATTATAGAGAGCCCCATGTCTCGTTTTAAGTACTCCACCTTGGGCTTCAGGTTCGTTTTCCAGCTGTAAGAGATCGATGGCGGGTACCTCACAACCAAATCCACCACCAACCGACGAGCCCTGCATCTCTTGACACTTGATGCTGGATTAAACGCTGAAGAATAATTTTCCCCTTCCAAGCAATTACCTCTATCACCTTCACCCAACCTTTGCATCCCATTTCCTGCTTCTCCACTGATCGCCAATGCCTCTTCCACTTCTCGCACAAGCTCTCTAAAACTTTCCCTCATGACATCATCACTAGAAGCTAATAGCAAAGGAACTTGTGCCACAGTCCGCAAGGCATTCTCTCGGCCAATCAAATCAACCAATGCCGCCACCTTACCTTGCAGATTCTCCTCCGATAGTTTCAGAACCATCGGGTAACTCTGTGCCACTCTTCTTGTTGCCTCCTCCCCCATCAGCTCCACAAAGAACTGGAGCTTAGCTAAGAGAGTTTCTGTGGAAAGATTGAGGATGGTGGGGCCCCGCCAAAGCACAGTGGCGATGAAACGGGTGTCCAAGTGGTTGGACTGTGGCTCATCTAGTTGCTGCTTCAGGAGGCTTGTGCTGGTGCTATCTGCTTCTACCTTTCCTCCAGATGTCGCTTTTAAAAAACGATGATAACGTTCCGAGCTGAGCACCCACCGCCTCTTTGCTCTGAGTCAAGATGGACGGGCATTTCTCTATAATCACACGCAGCTTGTCCACAGGAACCCCTGCTCTCTCCACCAGAATGTCCAGGTTCGTTGAACGAGCCTCACAGCAGAGTAAGTTGCGACCACGTCGGAGCACTGTACCCAATCTGCTACGGCGAATGCCTTTAGCTAAAAGAAACTCAAGCATATTTTGAATCCGTTGCAAAGAGGAGCGGAGCCAGGCTGGAGATGTCAACGTCATGTGCGTGACATCAGCATTGGAAATGCCGTATGACTGGAGGAGACGGACACGTGGCAGGAAATCATTGGTGGGATTGGAGCGGAGGAGTTGCGGGTAAGTGCTGAGGAGGGAAGAGACAGTGGAAGGGGAGGAAATGCTGAGGTGGGAGGAGAAAAAGCGGTAGAGGGAGAAGAGGGAGGAGTGAGATACGACCCGGCGCCTGTTCGGTGGAGGAGGGGGTGTGGAAGGAGATGTAGTGGGTGCTGCGTCCTCTTCACACGGTTCTACTTCTGCTTCCTCCTCCTCCTCCACTTCCTCTTCCTCCTCATCGTCCCCCTCCTCCCTTTTCAATCTCCCCAACCCCTCTTCGCCTTCGCTGCTTCCTATCCCACTCCCCCTCTCCTCCAAGTCCTCTCTCACAATCTGAGGCCCGTATTTCTCCCTCAGCACTCCAGCAATCACTGCCACTGCCTCCTCCTCCTCCTTGGCTGGCTGGCGACGCGAAATGTGAAGTCAGCTTCGCGTGCACGGATTAGGGAATCGATACCTGAATTATCTCGATGAATGATTGATGCCTCGAGCTCTTATTTAGCTAAAATAGCTATCGAGCTTCAGGCTTCGCCTATCCAGCACCTAGCTGTTCCATGACGGGCGATCTCTTCTCATTCAATTTTAAAAACCTGAGTTCCTCAGGGCTACCGACGAGACGAGTGTGACGATCACAAGGGTCAAGCGGTGCGGCGTGATCAGGTTCTGTACGTTTAAAAACTTTTAATTAGGTATACGGAGTGGTTGAGCAGGTGCTTAGCGAATGCCCTGGGGATTGGCAATTGCTTTTCGCCTAAGCTTGAGATTTGGGTGAACGAAAGGAGCCCTGCTCCAATGCTGTCTTCGCCAGAGACTGTAACTGTGGTTGCTGCCCAGCGAAAGATTCAATGCTGATGCTCACGATATTGAACTCCAAGCTCCCTGGCGCTGAATGGTGGGAGTTTCACCTCGGGAAAAGCTGCATTTCGGTATAAGGTAAGTTGTGATCTTGTATCTCATCGCCTTTATGAATATGTGAGTTCTTTCATTCCACTCATCCTGGATACACATGGTGTGGATCTTGCACCCATCAGGATATTTGTGGGCTCGTCAAACGCGTGTTCTCACTGTTTCATTTACCCAATCAATGTTGCTACCGTGGAGAACTGACATGGAACGTCCAGACACCATGGCCCATACCAACTTGGAGGCACAAACCAGATTGGTCCCGCTGGTGCGGTAGTTGGCCATTGTCCAGCCAGAATTTTTTCCTGTTTTCAGAATGTTCCACACCTGTGAAGGAACCAGGTCTTTGTACTAACCAGCTCTTTGCCTGCTAGACAGAAGAAATCGTCGTAGCCATGAGTGCGTAGATTAGAGCAGAAGCATTGTAAGTGGTTGCAGAGCGACAGCTGGCAAGACGCTATTGGAGTAGACAGTGAGCAGGCCGGCGGCAATCCCAAGGGCCATGTTGGGGAAGAGGAGGGCGAGGGAGAGGTGGAAGAGGGCGAAGAGGGCTGCAGAGAGCATGGCAGCGTCGATCCTGAGGGGAAACAGGGAGGGAAGGGGAGAGAGGCAGGGAAGGGGATAATGCAGGGAGGAAAGGAGGGGAACACAGGAAAGACAAAATCAACCGTGTGAGGATAGGAAAGAACAGAGACATTGGATTGAACAGAGAGTGTGGGCCATGAAAATAGAGGAAGTTAACAAACCAGAAACAAGGTGGTAGCAGTAAGCCCTTGCCAACCTCATTACCGAGCCTCCTGCCAAGCCTCTCACCTGCCGAGCCTCTCTTGTAGGGTCGTGAGCAGCAGCCCTCTGAACAGTAACTCCTCTGCTACAGCCGGCGACACTGCCACTCACAGGAACAGCTGTAGCACGTCCAGCATGCCTGCCCCCATGCCTGCCAGTATGCCTGCCCCCACGCCTGCCCCCATGCCTGCCCCCATGCCTGCCCCCACGCCTGCCCCCAAGCCTGCTGTCATGCCTGCTGCCGTCCTCACATGCCCTCCCGTGTTGTCAAGCCCCAAAACCAGTCAACTCTCACCTGCCAAGCCGTCCCTCCCCTTCTCTTATCTGCAACCCCCCCCTTCCCCCCACCACCCCTGCAGGTCTAGAAGAATCTTCCACACAAACCTAAATGGCTACCAAACCCTCTCCCGCATCTCCCTTGGCCAAGGGAAACCCTCTCCCGCATCTCCCTTGGCCAAGGGAAACCCTCTCCCGCATCTCCTTGCAAAGCAACTTTTACCCCATGCCCGCCCTCGCCCTCTCATCCACCCACCTCCTCACTCTCATAATATCCGCACCCCCTCACCACCACCACCCCAGGTCTGCAAACATCTTTTAGGGCTGCATGCAACTTTCACACAGACCTGAACGGTTTTCAGACGGTGAGGAGGGAAACACTCGCCCAGATTCCCCTGCAAGGCAACTTCTACCCCATGCCCGCCCTCTCCTTCTCACGCCCTATGCCCCATGTCCCATGCCTGTCAAATATGCCCATTCCCGCCCTCTCCTTCTCATGCCCCATGCCCCATGCCCCATGCCCCATGTCCCATGCCCCATGCCTGTCTCATATACCCCATTCCTTTCCCTTCAGGGCTGCAAACATCTTTCAGGGCTGCAAACATCTTTCAGGGCTGCAAACATCTTTCAGGGCTGCAAACATCTTTCAGGGCTGCAAACATCTTTCAGGGCTGCAAACATCTTTCAGGGCTGCAAACATCTTTCAGGGCTGCAAACATCTTTCACACGGACCTGAACGGTTTTCAGATGGTGAGGAGGGAAACACTCGCCCGCATTCCCCTGCAAGGCAACTTCTACCCCATGCCCGCCCTGGCGTTCCTGCAACACCCCTCGGGCCTGCGCTTCTCTGTTCACACTCGCCAAGCCATGGAATGTGCCAGTCTCAAGTTGAGATCTCTCTTGTCCGCCTTCTCAATGTGATTCATTTCTTGGTCTCGCTATGTGCTTTACAGCCTCTCCTCACCATGCCCTCCTCCCCCTCCTTCCCCCCTATCCTTCTCTCCACCTCTCTCTTCTACTTCCCAATCCTGATAAGATGTTATTGGATCGGCGGCTCAACCAGGACGATGGAAGGGTGCTCGCACAGGGAGTGCCTGTCAATTACCAGCTCCTCTCCCTCCTCTCCCTCCTCTCCCTCCTCTCCCTCCTCCCCTCCTCCTCTCCCCTCTTCTCTTCACCTCCCCTCCTCCCCACCAGAGTGGTTGCTTAGAGATGGTATTGGATCAACGGCTGAACCAGGACGATGGGAGGGGGCTTACACAGGGAGTCTCTGACAACCGACCCCTGCTCTCCCTGCTCTTCCCCCTCCACTCCTCCACTCCCCTCTTCCCCTCACCTCCTTCCTCGCCCTCAGAGCGGGTGGCTACAGATGGTGCAAGAACGAAGGCTGAACCAGGACGATGGGAGGGGGCTCACTCAAGGAGTCTCTGGCAACCACCCGCTGCTCTCCCGGCTCTTCCCCCTCCGCTCCTCCCTTACCCTCTTCCCTTCACCTCCCCAACTCCCCACCAGAGTGGTTGGTTAGAGATGGTATTGGATCGGCAGCTGAACCAGGACGATGAAAGGGGGCTTACACAGGGAGTGTCTGACAACCGACCCTGCTCTCCCTCCTCCACCCCCTTCTTGAAGCCAACACCTCCTCTCGCCCCCCCCACCTCCCCCTCCTCCTCCGCTCCCTTCAAACCATCCCTCTTCTCCCACCGCGACTCTTCTCGACTTAACTACCCGCCCGTTCTTTTCATCGGGCTGCCCGAAAATTCCTCGGCTGTAGCAGTGGCAGCTGTTGCAGGTCCAGCAGACGGAGGGATGCGGCGGCTGTAGCAGAGGTATTTGTAGCAGCCACATCCCCGCCGGTCCCATCTGGCAGCAACAAAGGTCCCAGCAACAAGGCTGTGGCGCTCACACTATTCCCTCCTCCTCCTCGTGCTGCTCCTGCTCCTGTTCCTGTTCCTGCTGCTGCTGCTGCTGCTGCTGCTGCTGCTGCTGCTGCTGCTGCTGCTGCTGTTGCTGCTGCTAGTTCTGGTAATCCCCCTCCCCTCCAGCACCAGTAGAAATTTCAGAACTAGAGAGAAAAGCAGAGCCCATAGAATAGGTCCCCCCGCTGCCCCTGCCGCAATCACCTTCCATCAGCTATCATTTCCCTCTGCTAATACTCCCCTCTCCCCATCCCCATCCGCCCCACAATGGTTGATGCAATGGTGTTTTCTGATGAGAGGGGCTATTGTGGAGAGGCACACACAGACATCAGACATTGGACCACACCCTCACACTCAAACATGGACTCTTAGGAATGCAGCATACTGGAAGCCGAAGAAGCCTAGCAGCAGCAGCAGCCCTACAGTTTGACGCCAAACTTCTCCTCGAATAGCTTGTCTGTACAGTGGAGAAACTGCCGCAAGCAAATTATCTTCTTTGTCGCCTCCAAATTCACAAGCTTCTGCTCTGAAGCAACTCTCCCCCCTGGCTTGCTCGTTCTTTCACCCTTTGTTTCTTCCGCTCCCCATCCACTCCTTTCCACTCCCTCCACTTCAGACACAGAACCCAGCTTGCTCCTCTTCCCCAGCATCAATTGAAACACCCTTCCTGCCCCCAACACTCGGCCGAATAACCATCTCGTGTGCCACAATCGCATACCCCATTCGCACCAGCGCCACACGTCGCGGTTTGATCCGCCGATCCAAACTGAACGCAAGAAATTGAGGGTAGGCAAGAACCTCCATTATAGAGAGGCCCAAGTCCCGTTTTAAGTACTCCACCTTGGGCTTCAAATTCTCTTTCCAGCTACAATGGATCGAACTCGGGTACTTCACCACCAAATCCACTACCAACTCACGAGCCCTATATTTTTTGTCACCTGCAGCTGACCATGAACTACCATTTTCGCCTTTCACCAACCTTTGCGTTCCACTTCCCTCTTCTCCACTGCTCTCCAATGCCTCTTCCACTTCTCGCACAAGCTCTCTAAAACTTTCCCTTATTACATCTTCACTAGAAGATAATATCTTAGGAAATAGTGCCACCACCCGCACAACATTCTCTTGGCCAATCAAATCAACCAATACCGCCACCTTGCCTTGCATGTTCTCCTTCGCTAGACTCAGAACCTGCGGGTGACTCCTAGCCACTCTCCCTGCTGCCTCCTCCCCCACTAGATCCACAACGAACTGGACCTTAGCTAAGAGAGTTTCTTTGCTGAAACCAAGGATGGCGGGGGCACGACGGAGCACAGAGCTCGCAACCGAGGGGGTGCCTGGGGGAGTGAAGGACTGGAGAATGGTAATATTCTCAGCGATGTGATAGGAAGAACGAGAGAGGATGGCTGTACAATTCAAGATGACCCTGCTTAGTTGTCTTGTGTCCAGATGCGGCTCATCTAGTCGCTGCTTCAAGTGGCCCGTGCTTGAGCTACCTGCATCCACCTTCCCTCCATCCACATCCAACCTTAAAATAGGCTGATAACGCCTCAAGCTGTGTATTCAACGTCTCTTTGCTCAGAGTTAAGACGGACGGAGATTTCTCTATAATCACACCCAGCTTGTCCACAGGAACCCCTGCTTTCACTACCAGAATGTCCAGGTTCGTTGAACGTGCCTCCTTGCGGAGTAAATCCAGTCCACGTCGGAGCACCAAGCCCAATCTGCTTCAGCGGACGCCTTTATCCAAAAGAAACTCAATCTTGTTGTTTATCAGTGGCAGGGGGGATCGGAGCCAGACAGATCCTCTCACAATTATGTGGACGATGTCGGCGAGAGATATGCGAAACGATTGGAGGAGACAGACACGTGGCAGGAAGTCGTTGGTGGGATTGGAGCGGAGGAGTTGAGGGTAAGAGGCGAGGAGGGAAGCGACAGTGGAAGGGGAGGAGATGCCGAGGTGGGAGGAGAAGAAGCGGTAGAGGGAGAGGAGGGAGGAGCGAGAGGTGGCACGAGTGGGACGAGATGGCATGCTTGGTAAACCCTCCTCACTCGCTTCTGCTTCTACTTCCTCATCCTGCATTTCTGTGTCCATTCCAACTTCCTCCTCGACCGCCGCCGCCGCTGCCGCCGCCGCCACCGTTGTTGCATCCGATTCTTCCCCTCCTTCAATCTCCTCCCATCCCCCACTCCTTCCGTTCCCAAGCCCCTCCTCCTCCTCTTTTACAATCTGAGGTCCGTACTTTAGTTTTGAGACGTCTCAAAAACAACCTCGCTATCTGAGGTCCGTACTTCGCCATCAGCACTTGAGCAATCACTGACACATCCTCTTGCTCCTCCTCAGATGCTTCCCCCTCTCCGCTCTTACTCCCGCTTCCTTCGCGCCTTGCTTTCACGTTGCCTGCTCTCCTTCCACGCCTCTTACCAACTTCTTCTGATCCGCCCTGCTTTTCCTCAACAATTCTTACGCTCTCCTCCCCTTCTCTATCAGCACCCACCTCCACTTTTCCCACATTTCCCGCATCAAACTCCGTCCCAATGGTCGCCTTGTCATCGTCCGTCGGCTGTAGGTTTGCGACCGCCGCCTCTGGAGACTCGGATGGCATGGAAGCGTTTTCTGCACTGCACCTGATCGCGAAGCTCCAGTCAGGGCTTCGAATCCTGACGAAGGCTTTCCATACAGAGTGGTCCAGTGGGGCGAATCTACGCTGGTACGGGCTCGACCACGGCGGAAAAACAGATCTGACTGAATTCACGTGGTTCTTATCAAGAGATACGCAAGGAGGGAGACAGATCTGCGTGTAGTCGAGGCTGGTGATCGACATGACTGACGGGGATGAAGAAACAATACACGCCATGGCAAACAGCAGAGGAGTTGGGCAGAGGAGGTGTTGGCGAACACCGAATGTAAGATCAAGGTCAACAACTCGCGGCTACGTTGACCGGTTCGCCGTTCCAAGACCCTGCTATATTGCAGATTCTAAGAACCGCTCGTGTTCTTCGTGATGGATAACTCTTCGTAGGAACCTAAGATCCTAAGGACGAGCAGCTGCTATTCGCCCGGACGAGTAAGTGGTTCGTAGCTCCTGTGTGGAAAGTACCAGCGTGATCTCAGCAGATGGATTCAAGGGTCCACGGGAACTCCGAAATTGCTCCTGAATTGGGAACGCATGCCCGAAATTTGAGAGTCCTGACTGTTTTCTGGGTTATTGAACGGTAATGACGAGGTGCAAAGCGGTTTACTGTACACTTCAATGTGTTCAAAGACACAAATGTGCGTGGAATGAAGTTAGTGCATTTGAATGTTCAGTGAGAGGTGATGTCCGACTCAGCTCAGTCCTCATTCCAGCTTCCAGCTTTCCGCGTACGGACGCTTTCTAGTTCGATTTGTACGGTTGAAGTTGCAAATGGCGATGGCGGGAGGGGTAGAGTTGAGGCTGAACGGAGCAGTTGTGAAAGTGCAACCCGCGGAAACAGCGGGAGAGATGGGGAAAATAACTGTAGACGTGAAGGAGCGATCGCCGGATGAGCTGGAAGCGCAGGTGAAGAAGCAAGGCGAGGCCATGGCTCCTCTGAAGCGAGAGGTGGACGAAATGAGGCACGCGTTGGTGAAAGGGGCATTGGAGATTATGAGAGGGGGGGACAATCATGACGCAGGCAGTGCCGCAGCGGGAAAGGACGCGGACGGCCTCCCAGCGCAGCAGCCGCCGTCGAAGGGCGAGGCGCTTATGGCCCTGGTGGACGCCATGATCGCGGCGCGGGTGAAGGACGCACGGGACGAGCTCGAGTCGCAAGTGCGAGGATTGAAGGAGCAGTTTGGAGGCGGCGAGAGGCGAGGCGAGGAACGCGGGGAACGAGCTGAGGGCGATGGTTAAGCGACAGGCGGCGGAGATCGCGGACGTGAAGGCGACGGCGGCGCACACCGAGGCGCGGATGAACGACGTGGAGTTGGAGGTGGCGGAGTGGAAGGACGCGCCGCGGGAGAAGGACGCGCCACGCGCCGAGCGCAGCGACGCCAGCGGGAGGGAACATGCGGGCGCGAAGGGGCACGAGGGGAAGAGGCGGAAGAGGGAGGAGGCAGGGAAGGGGGACGAGATCGCACATGCTGCTGGTTCTCCCGATGTCGCTGCTTGCGGAGGTGCAGTACCGGCCGTCGATTCTTCAGCTTCTATAGAAAAGCGGAATGCAGCGGATGAGACGAAATGGGAGGTTGAATGGCAAGAGCTGAAGGGCTGGGTGGACGCGATGGCATGCCGAGTGGCGAAGCTGGAGAAGACGAGTGGCGAAGGGAAGATGATATGGGAGGTGAGTGGTTTCATTAAATTGACTCTTGTGTTTCTGCCAGCACGAAAGAACTGGTGGCATGCCCCTTGCTAACACGCGCTCCTGTGGTCATCACTGGCTGGTGGTACGTACACATCGCCCTCACTTTTGAAGTACCCGCTTTCGGCTGTCTTTCCGACATGCTCGCGTCTGCCTTTGTTTACCCTACCTGGCAATGCTCACACTGTGGGCGGCAGCTGCACCAGGCTAGACTCAAATGATTTTAAAGCGCCTCAGATTCCGTCTCATTTGAGGTGCCTCAAAAATAGGAATGTTCGCGTCTGCCTTTGTTTGCCCTACCTGCAGACAATGCTCACTCTGTGGGCGGCAGCTGCACCAGGCTAGACTCAAATGATTTTAAAGCGCCTCAGATTCCGTCTCATTTGAGGTGCCTCAAAAATAGGAATGTTCGCGTCTGCCTTTGTTTGCCCTACCTGCAGACAGGCGGCAGCTGCACCAGGCTAGACTCAAATGATTTTAAAGCGCCTCAGATTCCGTCTCATTTGAGGTGCCTCAAAAATAGGAATGTTCGCGTCTGCCTTTGTTTGCCCTACCTGCAGACAATGCTCACTCTGTGGGCGGCAGCTGCACCAGGCTAGACTCAAATGATTTTAAAGCGCCTCAGATTCCATCTCATTTGAGGTGCCTCAAAAATAGCAATGTTCGCGTCTGCCTTTGTTTGCCCTACCTGCAGACAATGCTCACTCTGTGGGCGGCAGCTGCACCAGGCTAGACTCAAATGATTTTAAAGCGCCTCAGATTCCGTCTCATTTGAGGTGCCTCAAAAATAGGAATGTTCGCGTCTGCCTTTGTTTGCCCTACCTGCAGACAATGCTCACTCTGTGGGCGGCAGCTGCACCAGGCTAGACTCAAATGATTTTAAAGCGCCTCAGATTCCGTCTCATTTGAGGTGCCTCAAAAATAGGAATGTTCGCGTCTGCCTTTGTTTGCCCTACCTGCAGACAATGCTCACTCTGTGGGCGGCAGCTGCACCAGGCTAGACTCAAATGATTTTAAAGCGCCTCAGATTCCGTCTCATTTGAGGTGCCTCAAAAATAGGAATGTTCGCGTCTGCCTTTGTTTGCCCTACCTGCAGACAATGCTCACTCTGTGGGCGGCAGCTGCACCAGGCTAGACTCAAATGATTTTAAAGCGCCTCAGATTCCGTCTCATTTGAGGTGCCTCAAAAATAGGAATGTTCGCGTCTGCCTTTGTTTGCCCTACCTGCAGACAATGCTCACTCTGTGGGCGGCAGCTGTGCCAGGCCAAACTTAAATGGATCTCAGCGGCATTTCCTGCCTCACCGACGTGGCTCTCACGTACCTCGCCTCATTGCACTCCCTCACCTCAATCAACCTCCAAGGCTCCTCTGGCTTCACAGCAGCAGGGATGTGGAAGCTGTACGCTCTCACAGGCCTGCTTCGCCTGGAACTGGGTACCCCTGGCGCGACTAATGCTGCCCTGGAAGGCATTGGGCAGCTGAAGAATCTGAACGTCTTTATTGCCAATCACACCAAGATCACCGATGCGGGAGTGGCTCGGCTGCAAGAGCTGTCTGCGCTCACCGCGCTGTGCATAAGCGGGTGTGCGTCTGTCACATCTGCCAGCATGGTGCATGTGGGGAAAATTAGGCACTTGAGTGGCTCACACTGAACGGTGGTGGAGTGACAGAGGATGGGCTAGAGCATCTGACTGGCCTCATGTCTCTCAAGTATTTCATGCTGCCTCCGGGAGTGACCGACTGGGGGATCAAGCACCTGAGGAATATGAAACTGCTCGAGAAGCTGTCACTCAGGGGTGCTAGCATCACTGCATCAGGTATGAAGTGGCTCGAGGGCTTTAAGTGCCTCCAAAAGGTTGCAACTGATTCGTACGAGATCGAAGAATTGATACGGGACATTCTCCCTGGAGTGATTGTTATGTCGGGTCCCCTCAATGCGTAGTGCAGTAGGTTTTCGAAGAGTTTTTGGGTTAAGATCTTTGAGGGATTTGGAGTCAACGATAGGCGTAGCGCTGTTCGCTTAACCTCATGCTTATAACAGATACTGGTACATCCCCAATAGCATCATGCAAGTAGTGTTGGCATGACAGGTAAGACGATATCAACTGTACTCGCCACAGAAAGCTAACAAACAGCTACTGTACTAATACTTATTTAGTGTTGAGCTACTGAAATTCAACTTGAAACAATCCCTCAACACTTGGGATGAACCGTAAACACTCTTGGTGTACCGTCAGTTAGAGGCGAAGCTACAGTGTACTGTAGCACCCAGTTGTTCACTGCTGCTCCGTGCTCCCCGAACCTGTTGACCGCCACCAAGCCTCCCACGAAGTCTGGGAACTTGGCTCGGATGCGACTGATGGCAGCTTCGGCAGCCGAGGCTGGGGTAGAGCCCATTCGCATGAGCTCTACTGCTAGGAAGCTGGAATAGTGAAGGGAAGAGGAATATGGGAGAGAAGGAAGAGAGGGAGGAAGATAGGAGGATGCGGTAGACCTCATTAGCATGAGCTCCACTGCTAGGAAGCTGAAATATAGAGGTAGGTAAAAGGAACGAGGGAGAGGGGGAAGAGAGGAAGGAAAATGGGACGGAAGAGAGGAGGCTGGGGTATAGCACAATCGTATCAGCTTGACTGCTAGGAGGCTGAGATAGTGAAGGGGGGAGAACCACGGGTAAAACTAGTGACAGTCACTACGGTAGTGGCAGCGGAGCGAGATGTGGGGTAGGGTCTATCCGGTGCGACTTCATGTGAAAAGTGGAGTGACGTCAGCAAGTGCTGAGATATCAGCAAGCGCACAAGACCATGATGTCAGCATACCATGGCAGGAACCTCATCATGACGTCACCATCTCCTGTTGCTCCGCACCCCCCCACTCTTGAGTCCACATACGCTCCTGCTCCTGCTATGGGTGCATCACCCACCCTGGAGAGAACAGCAAGGATAGAGGGGGGGTGAGTGAGTGACAGAGTGAGTGCATGAGCGAGTGAGTGGGTGAGCAAGTGAATCCACATTGCTATGGGAACAGGATCGTACGATGACATGGGTATGATGACATGGGTTTGATGACAGAAGTAACAACATACCTCCCAGGGATGTGGAAGGTGAGTCCGTTGGTGGATGTCGCTGCAGCCATGCTGCCGTTCTGATGGCATGGGCATGGGGGTGATGACGTCGTGGGCATAGTGAGATGACGTCATGGGCACCATGTGATGACGTCACGCACATGGGGTGACGACAGACAGACAGTGTGCAGATGAGGTAATGACGTCATGCATATGGGGGCATGGTACCAGGGGGCAGTGGGCAGTGAGCACACGTGCTGTGCATATGTGCTGCATGTGTACATGCAGTGCAGTTCAAAAGAGTCCGCATATCAGGCACAGGAGAGCAGTCTTAGGCCGACACAAGAACAGCCCAGAACCTGTCACCGCACCTCACCTCACCCCACCGCACCGCACCTGTGCTATGGCAACCATGGAGATGGTGTCGTGTGATGCCAGGCGGTTTCGCCTCCTCAACAAGCCTTGCTGCCGGCCAACAAGACGTGGATCACACCCCACGCGCACATCATCAGGTCCGGCTGCAGGTCCGGCACCACCAGGTCCGGCACCTGCTTCGGCCCCCTGAGGCTCGGCCGTGGCACCGCCGCTTGGTTCGGAAGCATGTGATCCTGGAGCAGTGGCCGGGCGGTAGGGGCCGCAGGAACGGGCGGCATCAGGTGTCACGTTGCGCCAATAGTTGGGCTGACAGCTGGCGGCCTTCCATTGGCGCCACATGGCGAGAGACCGATTGGTGGAGAGATCTTCCGGGCCGGCCAGGCCCATTTCCAGGGCGAAGTCCGTTGCTGCGTCGCCGACCAGCAGCGAGTGATACGTGTGCAAAAGGACAAGATACGCCGCCCGCACTGCCGCCTTGACTCGGCGCAGGCCGGCCACTGCCCCCACGTCCATGGAGTCCTTGGGGAGGGGGGAGAGAGAGGGGGGCGGGGGGAGGGGAACGGGGGGGAGAGGGTTGGGGGAAGAGTGGGGGGAGAGAGGAGAGGCAAGCGGGCAAGAGAACGGGAAACGGTTTTTGAGACGTCTTAAGAAATTAATCGGCACCGGCCGGCCACTGGCCCCACGTTCATGGAGGCATTGCCAATGGGGAGAAGGGGGAGAGGTTGGGGAGGGGCAAGAGAATGGGAGGGGGAGAAAATGGGGGGAGAGAAGGGGAAGTGGTGGTGGAGGCACAGAGTGGGGAAGTTGGTAATTGGAGGGATTGAGGGGTGGAAAAGGGAGAAGATGGGGCAAAGGGGAAGGTCTGGAGGAAAGGGGGGTGGAGGGGTACAGTTGTCCGAAAATGTGTATGCCTCTACATATTCCAAGTTGCCGTAAGAGCCGATTCAGAAGTGTAATAAGGTTCTCGTCATCCCATCTCACCCCATGCTTTAACTATGACGTCATCCCACGTCACCCCATGCGTGATCATGACGTCACCCCATCTCACCCCATCCATAACCATGGCATCGAGTGTTGTTTCCCCCTTCTCGTCCGGACTTCCTCCATACCCCACTGGAGGGGGAGATGGAGAAGGATGGGGGGAAAAGAGGGAGGGGAACTAGTGTTGAGTCAACTCAAACCACACGTGTCATCTCCCCCTTCTCGTCCGGACTTCCGCCATTCCCCACTGGAGGGGGAAGAAGGGGGGGGGGGGTGTGAGGAGGGAGAGGAGAGGGGGGTGTGTATGGGGGCAAACTGGAGGATACCCGAGGAGATTGGACGAGATAATTGTTCGGTGCAAGTTGAAAGAGGGCTCTTGAGATACTATTCATGCTGACGTGGCACCTGATCCATCGCACTGAAGCACCTCGCACACGTTACATCCTTCCACCACCGCGTCCAGTGCGGATCCGCCACGTGTCAGAACCTCCCATGCCCGGCAATTGGCTTCTAAAAACGGCCACACGTTCACCACCATTGGCCATTGCGTTGCAGCCGAATCAACGGCTGCAAATTGCCGTCCATCAACTGACGAACCCGCGCATGGAAAAACAGCGGCGAGGAGGAACGACAGACAGAATAAGAATACAATTTGATGAGTTTTTTCAACCATTTTCCTAAATCTGAAAAGAAGCAATGATGGAGAGTGAAGAATTTCCGTAGGACGCGGGAATGTGCTTGGCTGAGGTAGGGGATTTGGTATTAACTGCGAAATTGCGAAGGGTGCACGAAGTGCGCGAGGCTTTGCCGAGCGAAGTTCCCGAGAAGTGGTTGAATTGCGGTAACTCGGTTCAGCGTACATATTCCTCGCACGGAACTTTCGAAACAAAACCATATCGCCAGACAATGAATGCGAAATCGTGTGGCGATACTTTCAACGAACATCCGAGGGTGTTTTCACTCGCCTGAAACTGGACAATCTTTGCGTCGCGAAGAATTCTGGTTCTAGGTGGTTACGACTCACAGCAAACCTGAAGTTCAATCATGTGTCGCAATTGTGGCATCTGGCGCGGTAAGGGCAACTAAAGGCGGCTCAACTCGGTTACAAGATGCCACAGTTGTTTTCGCTTGAACCTTTCAGAGACCTGAATTTCTGAAGCTGAAAATACACGCCCCATCTGCAGACAAGGTAGTGGTATCACGCGATTTCTTCCACTCAATGTGGTTGATTAGTCCGCCAGCACAACTCGAGACCTAGTAGGAAACCAGATAGTAGGGAAACCCGTTCCCGTCTTGATTAGCTCGCCACTCGCACTTCGATTTTCTCGCATGAGCATTAGGAAGCACGAGCGTGCTCTCTGTCCTGCTCCCTTCCCCTTTTCCCCCGATAATGTGGAGATTTAGTCATTCCGGGACAATAGTGAGAAGGACGATGTATTTCTGCCATTTGTTTCCCATTTCGGTGTTCTTTGCCTCCACGAAAGCCTCTATAACGCCGCCATCATGAATCTCCGCTTCCGAAACTTCAAGCTCCTCTTGACGTTTCTTTACTTGTTCCAGTCATCACTTGGCGACGGCCGTCCTCTTCGTTCTGGCAAAGGACACTTCCCGAAGGAGCTCGAATGGGAGCACTTCGACGTCTTCTACCTTCTCGTGCGTTACTTGTTATAGTTATCGATTATTTCCGCGTTTAGTACTTAGTGTTCCGTCTTGTGCATTTTTTTTTGTAAACGGCTGTGATCATTCACAGAGGTCAGGCATTGCTCTTTTTTATCTGACTCTGCATCAAGCAACCGGTTTCGATCAAACTGAATTCGTTCTTGCTGGGTGTTTTTCCTTTCAGGATGGCCACTTAAGCCGCAAACAAGTTGGCCCAGGTGCAGGAAACGTCTACTACAAACAAGTAAGCATTCTCGGGGGAAACGAGACGGGCCTTTTTTTTTAACTTCGGCCGATCCTCACCTTGATAAGTAACAACGATGAACCGAACCACCTTCCGTGTGACTCTCTTCTCTTGTGTCTATTTCAGTTAGGCAATGCAGGAAGCATCAACAATCAGGGGGCGGTGAACAACCAAGCAGCCCGTGCCGTGAAAGACGGAACTGGGCTGGGGAGCGCCAACGTGCAACAGGAGAACTCACAGACGCAAACAGCATCTGCAAACCCCGTCACAACCACTGTTCAGGTTGACGCTGCTACTTCTACCACTGATTACACTGGTTCAACTGCAGCCCTTCCAGCTGCCTCTGTTTTAGCACCAGGGGTGGGATTTAGTGGTGTTGGCGTGGGATCGCTAATCACAACCCTTCCTGGGCCTGATCCCTTTTCAAGTGGGTTGGTACGCCAAGGTACAGATCCCAGGTGCCGTAGGGATGAAGGCACAGAGCATTGTGATGATGGTGCATCTATATTTTCGTCCAGGGTTCCCATTGTTACAATCTCCAATTTTGGTGAAAGTGTGAGAATCTAGTACAACATATCTTACCGTGTTAGAGGCTTCACATTTCATATGGACTTATGGTGCATGTGGGTTGAAGATGTTATCACTGAAATAATCTAGGGTCCAAGATAGCATCAGGTGAAGCTGTGCCCGTGAGAACTGGTGCTGTGTCCGTGAGAACACTGGTGCAGTTTATCAGTAGGGATCTATATATAAGATACATCATGAATGATTCAATGGCATGTCTTCATTTTTATTGGAAATGGGTCGGCTGAGTACAACAGTTCTGTTCAACCTCGGTGGTGTATTATCGAAAAGCTCCTTACGACTGTTGTTGTGGAGCTTGCGCTGCGATCAAGGGAGACACACGAACAGTCGTCGTCACCAATCACCCGCTTGTGCGACGTCAAGTTCTGGGCACGTCTCTGACAACGAAGGTGCCGCCGCCGAACCACTCGATGTAAGCACGCAACTGCGTCTCGACATAAACTGCTCATCTGTCCAGCGCTGGGTCGAGTGCTTGACCAATCACAGAGACCCGCAAAGTACTGTAGCCGCGCCACTACATCCACTATCAAAAGTGGCACACACACTTCGCGCCTCGACCTCTGCCCCTCCACACACAGTCAGCCAGCAGCAGCATTAACCTCCCAGCTTCGCGGACCCTCCAGTCCCCCCCCCCCCCTTCCCCCCCCCCCCCCCACCCTCCCCCTCCTTCTCAGCCAGCCAGAACCCCACAGAGCTTCCGCCTCACACGAGCCATCGATTTGTTGATCAGGTCCCCTTGCTGCATCTTATCCGTTCATCGGATGACTGTCCCCCCACCACAGTCACGTCATATTTGGCGGGAGACGATGTACACTTCACCCAACAGACCTGTCCCCGCCTCCTCTCCCGACTCATCCCGCGCTCCACCACTTCCCCCCACCCTCCCCCCAATCCGTCCTTTTCCACCTTGTCCCCTCCCTAGGGAATACCCCCCCCCCCATCTCCCAAAGGGAGCTTCACATCCCTCGGAACGAATCTGGGCTGGCCGTATGCCAAGGATACAATAAGTATTTGTTTCTCGCCTGCCCTTGTCCATTTCTTTGCCCTAGAATTCTTGCTCCTAGCCTATCCTGCACGCAATACCCCCCTTGTCGCCAGCCACTTTCCTCGCAGTACAAGCGACGCGCTTGCAACTCAGCAAACAGTCGCAGCGCTGGAACGAATCGCCGTACGACTTGCCCGTCGTCTCCTCGATTACCTGGCCTCTTGACCTCGAGTCGGCCTACTCCTCGCTCGTTACTGTCGCTCATGAACCCTTGAGGTTGGTCCGTGTCCATCTAGGACGAATCGCCTAACTTGCCAATTTTGAGTACGGTACGGAGCAGCCCGTAAGCCTGTCTCCCTGACCTGATCCGACCAGCCAGCTAGCTTCCTGCGCCGGCCTGTCTCCGCTCTCCTCGTCTCCTCCCTCTCGGTTTAGGCTGGGTCAGCTTATCGTGGTGTGATTATTAGGGCACATCAAGCATATTGGGGTAGGCTCGTGAGTGAGCCATGGCGCGGGAATCTCGGCGCAACAAGCGCCTGTCGCAACGCGCGTAGCCGCTTCTTAGGCTTCGAGAGTAGTATCCCACGTTGAGTCAGCTAACGGGCCAAGGTAGTCCACACATCGCTTGTATGACAAATAAGGTTGTGGGAGCTGCTCGTGCGTTGATGATCCGTGTCCGTCGCGTATCAGGTCGTAGTGGCAGTGGCTCGGCCTCTGATTCTGATCAGGCGAATAGTAACGAATCGTCGCACAGCGGCATGCGACAAAGTAGTGCTTTAAAACGAAGCCAAATGGACTCGTACTCGCATCTCCATAGTATACACCACTTAGGTCTCTTTAGATGGCTCATGGTTCACCTCGCGTTTGTGTTACCCGTCGCTGTTCATTTCTTCGCCTGCTCGGCTGCTATGTTCTTCGGCCTACGTCTCGCCAGGGAGATTCTTATCCTCCGTCCAGGCTCCAGTATAGGCTCCTACAGCTCCGATTTAGCCCGATTCGATATAGTACCAAGTGGCGATCCGCACGCGTTTACAGACCGCTTTCTGATGGCTGAAACTGACATATCTCCGACAATGTCCCGTTTTGATCAGCCGAAGCCTGTGGTTAGAGACTTTCACGATCCCTTGGCTTGCGAATGGGACTTGGCTTTACACTGGAACTTCACATCTGACAAACCGTTAAACGTGCCGGCTGGAATTGACGACGAGGATGCCGGCGTGAAAATCGGCCGTCACGAAATCCTCATCCGGCCGAACCCGACTCCGGATCCACGTCAACTGGTCGTCAGCCAATCGCTGTTGAGACTGCTGCAGGAGAACGAACGGCTGAGATTGCTCGCGCAGGAAGACGGACGGCTCTCACCGCTCAACCCTCGCCGCGTTATCGTCATCACGCCGACCTACAAACGAACCTTCCAGCAGCTGCTCATGCTAGGGTTGATCAACTCACTAAAACGGGTACAAGCGCCGGTGCTGTGGGTGGTGATTGAGGCGACGAAAACGGAAGAAACCGCGCGGCTTATCGCGAAGGCTACTATCGGGGACAGCGGGTCGGAGAATCCCGAGGTGGAAATCGCGCACCTGGGCGTGCAGGAGGAAATGGCCGAGGATTGGGACGAGCGGATTCTGCTTGAGCAACGAATGCGAGTCGTGGGACTAAGGTGCGTGTGCGGGGAGGGGTTGGGTGTGCGCGTTGAGGGGGTGGGCGTTCGCCGTGAGGGGTTGGGTGTGCAGGGAGAGGTGGGTGCGGGGATAGAAGGTGGGTGATTGCTGAGAGAGGCGGGTGCGACGTCATTGGCTGAGGCATGGGGCTTGACTGAGTATTAGCTTATACGGTTCACCAACTTATATCTGACAAATGCTGACCTCCGTACCTTTCCCGAACCTCACAGGTACGTTCGAGAGCGCAGGCTCGACGGCATCGTGGTCTTCGCGGATGACGGCTCGGTCTTCTCCCCGAAGTTCTTTGCCGAGGCTCAGCGCGTGCCTTGGTTCGGCGCAGGCTCGGTAGGCGTGCTGCTGCCGGTCGGCTTCATCGAGCTTATGGGGTCGGAAGAGCAGGCGGAGGAGCAGAGCAGTCAGGGGGAAGGGCTGGGGAAGTGCAAGGGGCAGGGACGGAAGCAGAAGCGCGGGCATGGGCATGGTAGGCGCATTGCGAGCGTTGATTCTAGTGAGGGCAGCGGCAGTGGCGGCGGTGGCGGTGCTGGGAGTGTCGAGGCTGCAGCAGCGGCGGGGGTAGGGTTAGCGTTAGAAGGGGGAGGAGCAGAGAGGGAGAAAGGAGCAGAGGGTGGGGAGGCTGGCGGAACGGGTGGGGGAGTGGATGGGGAGGGGCGGGTGGGGGAGATGGGTGGAGGAGAACAGCGGCTACAGCAAGGGGAGGAGAGGAAACAGGAGGGGCAAGGGGAATGGCAGACGCAGCAGCAAAAGCTGCAGCAGTCGCAGGGGAAGCAGGGAGAGGGAGGGAATGGGGTTGGCGATGGGGATGAGCAAAGTAAAATGCGGTTACCACAACGCAGGCTGTTACAAGCCAGTAGCCAATCAGCGTCTTCCAGCATGTTGCGGGTAGGCAAGCAGACGCGTTATCAGATGCCCGTGCAAGGCCCTGTGTGCAATAACGAATCTGTTCTTATCGGATGGCACACTGTGGTACACCACCCGGATCGTCTCCTATTGGGGTTACCAAGTTACAACTCCCTAGGGCCGGAGGAGGAGCAACGGAGGGGCATGCTATGGCATGGGTATGTCTTTAACTCACGGTTACTATGGGCTAGAAAAGAGGAGCTTCCTGATTGGGTGCGAGGCTGGGATGAATGGGGCCCTGAGCTGGAACGAGGCCTGGGAGGAGGCTCGGAAGAAGGTTTGGAAGGAGGCTCAGAAGAAGATTCGAAAGGAGGTTCGGTGGCAGGCTCGGTAGCAGAGGGGCGGCTGTTTGACCTGCTGGGCGCGGTGGTGCGGAACGAGAAAGAGGTGCAGCTGATTGGGCAATGCGGGCGACGCGTGCTCGTGTGGTGGTGGAGGGCTGAAGCACGGCAAGACAGCAAGTTCCCTGCAGAGTGAGTGATGGTGTTATTCAAGTGGCCCATCCCTTCCTATCCACCCTTCCCCCACTTTCCTGCATCAGCCCATCACTGTCCGTGCATTCAACCCCCTAACCTGACCCCTTGCCTCCTTCCTTCCCACATGCGATCCCACTAGATTATCCTCAAGTGGTTGATTTACCCACATCTGCCCATTACTGCCTGTGCCAAGTCAACTCGTTTCCCCAAACCCCTGCCTCTTTCCCCTCCTTTTTGACTCATTTTCCTCCTCCTCTCTCTCTCTCTCTGCTTCCATAATCACTTGCAGGTGGGTTGTATCACCGCAACTGCCCATTACTGTCCGTGCCAAGTCAACCCCCTGGCCTGACCCCCTGCCTCCTCCCCCTCCTAGCCCTCCCTCCCCCCCATCCCCGCTGCCCCCGCCAAAAAACAAAAAGGGCGGTGGGAAGAAAAAGGGTGGAAAGCACAAGAATAATCATTGATACAGTGCTCACAAGGGGTGTAACATGATTATGCATAGATTCTTATTTCTTTTGCATGTTTTAGGTAGAGGAATCTCAGCTCATGAGCTGTTTTTTTTGCAGTGATTTTAAACAAGAGCCAGTGCTGATGTGCTGCCAACATTGGTGGTATTCTGTTTGCTGCTACAGTAATCTATCTCAATCGCAACTGTGTCAGCCAGGTGTGGTTCCAGATTATGCTGAGCAAGTTCCTCGAGCATACAGCCTCCATATGGTTATGTCCATGGCTGGTAACGCTATGCCCATATGAAAACTGTTGCCTTGGGAATACCGAGATGCTGAACATGATAACATTGCAGAATCATGTCACCTACAGTGATTTTCAGGTGCATCCATCTCTTTACACATAGCATTGATAAAATCCTTGCGGGTAATTATCCCTATCAAATCCGTGGGTTTAGGCACCACACACAAATGCCTCAAACCCAGGTTTCGGAACAGCGTATACGCCTTTTGCATTCCCATACCCTCCGTAACAATATACGGCGACCGGTTACTGTATGGGTGTAGATCCACAAACATCCCCTCCTCTTCGGGGGTAATCTCCAGGTCTTGAACTTGAAGTTCCCCAACCAAGGCCAGGGACGCAGCAAAGTCTTGCAAAACGGCTGCCCTCCCTACATCAGGGTAATATGCATGGTCACCACTTGGAGTGGTGGAGGTGGTTGCAATGCGGTGCAATGTGGTACAGAAGGATTTCTTGGAGTGGAGAAGGGCGAGAAGATGCTTCCGGAGAATGAGCCCAAAGAAGGTTGTTTCTTGGGAGGGGGTAGTTTGAGCATCATGTGGGGTAATTACCCTGCCGCTGCTGCTGATTCGTAGCAATCCATCACATGTGCTGCTGCTAATGGTATTGATACTGTTGCTTCTGAAGGTGTTGCTGCTGCTGACATTCCCAATGCTGTTAGTTCCAGTGCTGCTACTGCTGCTGATCACACTTGTGCTACTGCTGCCGCTACTGCTCCTGCTGGTTGCCGCCTCCCCTGCCCCCTCTTTTGTGTCCGCCCTCCCACCAATGAAATCAACCACAGGGAACGCGTTGTGCTGCGTGGCTCGTAAGGTGACTATGATTCGTTTCACCGTAGTCACACCCTCTAGAGCCACTAGGCAACCCGCACTAATACTGGTAACACCAGCACCAGCAGCAGCACTAATTGCACCAACAGCACCAGCAGCACCAGCACCACCACAAGCAGCACCAGCACCGGCAGAACCACCAGCAGCACCAGCAGAACCAGCAGGGCCAACACCAGAAGAAGCAGCACCAACAGCATCGCCAGCAGTTGCACGTCTGCGTGGAGTTCTAGGGGTGAAGGGGGTTGTGCGACGGGGGCTAAAAGCAGGGTTCCCAGGGCTGACAGGGTTGGTGAGATTTCCAGGAGTGGTAGGGGTTCCTGGGTTGAGAAGAGTAGCAGATGGGGAGGAAACGAGCAAGGGAGTTACCGCAGGGGAGGTAATTGAGGGGGTTACCACGAATGTTACTGTGGGGGATCTTGGGAAAGGGGTGGTTTGTTGAAGAGTCATTGGAGGGGACTGGGGTGACAAGGTATCAGATGCACCAAAACTGCATCCCATCCCTGTCACCAGCTGTTTCTGTTGCTGCTGCTGCTGCTGCTGCTGCTGCTGCCTCTGCTGCTGCTGATGTTTGTTGTCTGCTGTGAATCTGCCAAAAACACCCTCTTTCTCTCCCTTTCCCCCCTCCTCACCCTCCTTCCGCCCCTCACCCTCCTCCCCTTCTTCCTCAAACAAAGTGAAGTCCTGATGCGTGCAGTTTTCCGGGAGGTAAGCAATCCCTTTCAGGTCAATATGAGAGTCGTCGATATTCCGATTGAACAAGTCCCCCACCGATTTCGACACCAGCAGCACCACCATCACCAGCGGCAAAAGTTTCAAGCTGCCCGTGAGCTCCAGCAGGATGACCGAGAGCGAAACGGTCATGCGCATGGAGCCGCCCAAAAAAGACGCGGCGCCGAGGAGCGCGTAGGTTCCCTCCCCCACCCGGTGTGGGCCGAATAGGGTTACCATGAACATGCCTGCCATTCGGCCGTAGGACGCACCGCAGAGGATGGAGGGAACGAAGAGACCGGCCGGGACTGCTGTGCCGTATGTGAGTGTGGCGAGAGCAAAGAAGATTGTGAAAGACAGGAGAAGAGACGTGTAGCTGGTAGGGGGAGGGGAGGGAGGGAGTGGGAGGAGGGGAAGAAGGAAAATGAGGAGGGAGGGGAGAAGGAGAGCATACGTGCCTTCCCCCACCCGGTGTGTTCCAAAAAGGTGGGTCATTCAGGAGCATACCAGCCATTTGGCCGTATGAGGCACCGCAGAGGACGGAGGGCACAAAGAGACCCGCCGGGACTGCTGTGCCGTATGTGGGTGTGGCGAGAAGAAAGAATGTGGTGAAAGAGAGGAGCAGGGAGGAGTAGCTGGTGGAAGGGGGTGGGGAGCATAGAGATTGGGGTGGGAGAGTATGGGGTGAGGGACAAGGCGTAGGGAAGAAGGTAAGTGAATGTGGCGGGAGCAAAGAAGGGTGGAATATGGCAAAGAAGGGTGGAATTTGCTTCACGTTTGCAACTTTTTGTGACTTACGCAAAGATTCCATGTGATCCGGTGTTTTGAGTCGACTCAAAACAAGTCGACTCAAAACGTTTGCAACTTTTGTGACTCACGCAAAGATTCCATGCGATCCAGGGCGGAACAGGTTCCCAAGGGCATCATCATGACTGGGACGTCTCGAAACCAACCTTTTATCACGTTGTTTTTGTGACTAGCGTGAAAGATCCGGGGCGGAACAGAACAGGTTCCCAATGGCATCGTTGTTGGTTCGTGCAAGTGTGCAACTCACGTGAAGATTCCAAACGATCCGGTGCGGAACAAATTCCCAATCGCATCATCATTGGTTGTGAACACCAAGCTCGCGAGATCATTATACTGCCCGTCCGGGCAGGCAAAGGCCTTGTGGTCCCCCGTGCCAACGATGCTCGGGCAGTTGAAAGAACCTTGGTGCGAGCCCCCCACTAACCCCATTGCACCGCGTATTCCCTCATCCGGGTCTTGAGGGCAGGGCAGGCAGGAGGCGAGGAAGGGGCCGTAGAAGCGAAGAGCGGAGGTGAGGAGGGAGATGAGAAGGACTTCTAACACCCTCGCCCATGCGCCGTGCCTGTGGGTGAAGTTAAAGGGGGTAAATAGGAAAGAGATGCATGTGTGCTTTGAGATGAGGAGAATGGGGCCATAGAAACGAAACACTGAGGTGAGGAGGGAGGTGAGGAGGGAGGTGAGGAGGATCTCTAGCACCCTCGCATACCCCGTGCCTCCCCCTGCTCACCCTCACCCTCGCCTATGTCCTATCCCCATGCCCCATGCCCCATGCCCATGCCCATACAGTCGTGTGTGTGTGTGCGTGTGTGTCTCGACCGTGCGTTGTGTGCCTAACCTACGCGATTTGCTCTTCCTGCACACAACTTTCACGTTCAAGTGGTTGAACAAGCCGCCCAGCACCCCGCCCAGCATGCCCAGCAGAGCGATCGGCACCACCTCCAGCAGCCCAAAAGCAAAGCAGCGTTCGTCTGTCTGCCTGCACAGACTCTCTCCTTCTCACCTGTGAAGCGCGCTCTTCCTGTAAGCGCACAGCTTGACATTCAAATGGTTGAACAGCCCACCGAGTAGCCCGCGCTCATCACGCCCAGCAGGGCAACCGGCACCATCTCCAGCAGCCCAAAGCAAACCAAAGCAGTGTCTGTGTGTCTTGCTAGACAGTCTTTCCCTTCAATGTGCCTCTCACCTGTGAAGCTTCCTCTTCCTGTAAGCGCACAGCTTGACATTCAAATGGTTGAACAGCCCACCGAGTAGCCCTCCCACCACGCCCAGCAGGGCAGCTGGCACCACCTCCAGCAGCCCAAAGTCAGTTCGGGACTTGCTTCGGTCGAACAGAATGAAGCCTCGGGACCCAAAACTGCCGCCGCACCTGTCACCCTCGCACAGGGAGATGCAGGCTCGCAGCACCATTGCCACGACAGCATTAGTGAAGAAGATTCGCCAGATGAGCGAGTTGCGCCACCTGAGTGGGTGGGCCAAGGGGAAAGGGGAGGGAAAGGATGGGAGTGGGGGAGGAGTCGGAAAGGCACGAAGATGCAGGCTCGCAGCACCATGGCTACCACAGCGTTAGTGAAGAAGATTCGGCAGATGAGCGATTTGCGCCACCTGAGTGGGTGGGGAGAGGTGACGAGGGGGCGTTTCAGAGGGAGATGCATGCAGGGCCGGAATCGCTGATCGGAGCACCAATCGCTTGCAATCGCTCACATTCACTCGCAATTGAATCGCAATCATTCCCAATCAGCACCAGAAGCACCCCCATCTCACCAGGAGGTGACTTGCTCTATGGCGAACAGCACATCGCCCACGGGAGCAAGGAACGCAGAAGCCACACCCGAAGTAGCACCCCAATCACTATCATGCATCACTCCCAACCACTCCCAACCACTCCCAACCACTCCCAACCACTCCCAAACACTCCCAACCACTCCCAACCACTCACCAAGACGTGACTTGCTCTAGAGCGAACAGCACACCGCCCACGAGAGCAAGGAAGGCAGCAGCCACACCCGAGGCAGCACCACACGTCACCAGGTCCCTCAACCCCCTGTCACTGTGCACCCACACCGGCGTCCTTACAGCCCCAACCACTCCCAACCGCTTACCAGGAGGTGACTTGCTCTAGGGCGAACAGCACACCACCGACGGGAGGAAGAAGTTGGTAGCAGTTGCTCCCACTCACCCACAAATACTCCCAATTTCCATCCCTAACCTCCCCTATCTCATCACGAAGCAACCCCATCTCACCAGGAGGTGACTTGCTCGAGCGCGAACAGCACACCGCCCACGGGAGCAAGGAACGCAGCAGCCACACCCGAGGCAGCACCACACGTCACCAAATCTCTTAAACCCCTGTCGCTGTGCAACCACACCGGCGTCCTTAAAGCCTTGATTGACCCGTGATTGAACAGTCCCAAAGAGGCGATGGAGCTAGCTGTCGGGATCCGCGGCTTGCGCGGATGGCTGAGATCGCGGCGGGCGGAGATCCAATGGCTGAGACGGCCCAGGATGCTGGCGATGCATGCTCCACAGTGCACCAGAGGACCCTCCTTGCCCACTGCCAGCCCTCCTGCCACGGCTGCTATGCTTCCCAGCGCCTGATAGAAGACGGAAATGAGAAGATTGTCAGGGGGAATGGATGGAGCATGGCTGTCGGATTTGGATTTCGAGTGCGTTAAAAAAATCACCTTCTAACGAGGAGGGTTTAGGTGGAGAAGACAGGAGAGCAGGGGAGAGCAGGAGCATGGATGTCAGAATCTAGACTTGTTGGGATTGTTATCTGAACTTGTTGGGAGGGATTGTTACCTTAACGAGGAGCGTCTTGGCGGAGAGGACAGCAGGCGTGCTGACGCTGTTGGGATACCCTTTCACCTCAGGAATACCAGACCTATGTTTGAGCATGTTGGGACTAATAATCACCTTAACGAGGAGGGTTTTGGCGGAGAGGACAGCAGGCGTGCTGACGCCGTTCAGATACCCCTTCACCTCGGGAATACCGGACCCCACTGCCTCCATCGCTATCCCGTTACAGAGGCACGTTGAAGCGAGTACAAGGCCCAGGTTGGTCCCTGCCAGCACCAGAAAGCCTCCTAGGAAGCTGAACGGAAGGGAGAAGGAAGGGATTTTTTTTTTTTTTTTTTTTTTTTTTTTTGGCTTGTTCGACTCCGTCGGAACCCCGAGTCAGGGCTATTCCTGGACCAAGGTAGCCCCAGAGAGAACCGCGACCCAGGGGTTGTCAATCCCCAGGACCGGCATCCCCACGTAGCCCCGCACTCCGAATCCCTCCCAAGAGAAGGAAGGGAAGAGAACGGGAAAGAGTGGGGTGGGGGCTATTAGGAAACACGAACCCAGACTTGACACCGCCAATGACCTCTCCTCTGAGAGGTTGACGAGAAAGGCGAGGAGGTTGACGAGAAAGGCGAGGAGGTTGACGAGAAAGGCGAGGAGGTTGACGAGAAAGGCGAGGAGGTTGACGAGAAAGGCGAGGAGGTTGACGAGAAAGGCGAGGAGGTTGACGAGAAAGGCGAGGAGGTTGACGAGAAAGGCGAGGAGGTTGACGAGAAAGGCGAGGAGGTTGACGAGAAAGGCGAGGAGGTTGACGAGAAAGGCGAGGAGGTTGACGAGAAAGGCGAGGAGGTTGACGAGAAAGGCGAGGAGGTTGACGAGAAAGGCGAGGAGGTTGACGAGAAAGGCGAGGAGGTTGACGAGAAAGGCGAGGAGGTTGACGAGAAAGGCGAGGAGGTTGACGAGAAAGGCGAGGAGGTTGACGAGAAAGGCGAGGAGGTTGACGAGAAAGGCGAGGAGGTTGACGAGAAAGGCGAGGAGGTTGACGAGAAAGGCGAGGAGGTTGACGAGAAAGGCGAGGAGGTTGACGAGAAAGGCGAGGAGGTTGACGAGAAAGGCGAGGAGGTTGACGAGAAAGGCGAGGAGGTTGACGAGAAAGGCGAGGAGGTTGACGAGAAAGGCGAGGAGGTTGACGAGAAAGGCGAGGAGGTTGACGAGAAAGGCGAGGAGGTTGACGAGAAAGGCGAGGAGGTTGACGAGAAAGGCGAGGAGGTTGACGAGAAAGGCGAGGAGGTTGACGAGAAAGGCGAGGAGGTTGACGAGAAAGGCGAGGAGGTTGACGAGAAAGGCGAGGAGGTTGACGAGAAAGGCGAGGAGGTTGACGAGAAAGGCGAGGAGGTTGACGAGAAAGGCGAGGAGGTTGACGAGAAAGGCGAGGAGGTTGACGAGAAAGGCGAGGAGGTTGACGAGAAAGGCGAGGAGGTTGACGAGAAAGGCGAGGAGGTTGACGAGAAAGGCGAGGAGGTTGACGAGAAAGGCGAGGAGGTTGACGGGAAAGGCGAGGAGGTTGACGAGAAAGGCGAGGAGGTTGACGAGAAAGGCGAGGAGGTTGACGAGAAAGGCGAGGAGGTTGACGAGAAAGGCGAGGAGGTTGACGAGAAAGGCGAGGAGGTTGACGAGAAAGGCGAGGAGGTTGACGAGAAAGGCGAGGAGGTTGACGAGAAAGGCGAGGAGGTTGACGAGAAAGGCGAGGAGGTTGACGAGAAAGGCGAGGAGGTTGACGGGAAAGGCGAGGAGGTTGACGAGAAAGGCGAGGAGGTTGACGAGAAAGGCGAGGAGGTTGACGAGAAAGGCGAGGAGGTTGACGAGAAAGGCGAGGAGGTTGACGAGAAAGGCGAGGAGGTTGACGAGAAAGGCGAGGAGGTTGACGAGAAAGGCGAGGAGGTTGACGAGAAAGGCGAGGAGGTTGACGAGAAAGGCGAGGAGGTTGACGAGAAAGGCGAGGAGGTTGACGAGAAAGGCGAGGAGGTTGACGAGAAAGGCGAGGAGGTTGGTGCGCGTGCCGATAGGCAGCACGGGGAGCACCTTTGCAGAAAAGGGCGACACTCACTTTTGTCCTTTGATGTGGGAGAATACCAATCCAAACTTGGCACCACCAATGGCTTCGACAGAGATGTTAACAAAGAAGGCGAGGAGGCCGGTGCATGTACCTGGGAACGGGACAACTTTCTTCTGGCCTTTGATGTGCGAGAACACGAGGCCAAACTTGGCACCGCCAATAGCTTCGACTGAGATGTTAACGAAGAAAGCGAGGAGGCCGGTGCACGTGCCAATGAGCAACACGAGCAGCTCTACCTTGTTGTACCCCGTTATACGACAAACAGCACCATGCGTAGAACTCACTTCGGCAAAAGACGAGGCCAAAATTGGCACCGCCAATGGCTTCAACTGACAGGTAGAGAAAGAAAGCGAGGAGGCCGGTGCATGTGCCAATGAGCAGCACAAGGAGCGTACACGGGAAACAGAGTTGTAGGAGGGACTCACTTCTGGCCTTTGATGTGCGAGAACACCAATCCGAACTTGGCGCCGCCAATAGCTTCGACTGAGATGTTAACGAAGAAGGCGAGGAGGCCGGTGCACGTGCCGATGAGCAGCACGAGCAGCCATCGCAGGGTGGTGTGGAAGACTCGGTCAGCTTGCGTCATTGCCTGCCACTGGCCATGATGCCACTCTGAGTCGAGAACCCTGATGGGAATAGGCAGACGTGTAAGAGAGAGACAAAGGGAATGAGAGAGACAGGAATGAACGGTATGAGGAGAACAAGCAGCCAGAGCAGCGCAGGACGGTGTGGAAGATTTGGTCGGCTCGGCTTGAGTCATGTCATTGCCTGCCACTGGCCGTGAGGTCACTTTGAATCGAGAACCCTGATGGAGATGGGCAGAGGCAAAGAGAGAGACGCACAAGGAGCACGCTATGAGGAGAGAAGGAGCCAGCACATCACCATCACCACCCGAATCACCTTTTGAGTCGCCTCAGGAACCAGCAAATCACCACCACCACCCAGATCACCTACTTGTTGCTGTCATTCAGTTTCTCAAGAATGTTGCTGAAATTTGAATCCACAACATCAGCTTTGACACGCCTCGAAACTTAAGAGACGTCCCAAAAAATTGATTACAAATCATCAGCAATCACCACCACGCGTCACAAATAAGCAAGATTCGTGTGGCTGGAGTCACCCTGCCTGCTGCACCGCACCAAACCGACCATCACCACCACCATCACCCCCATCACCTACTCATAGTCCAGACACTCGAGGTTGTCAGGAGTTACTACCTGCTGCACCGCACCAAACCGAGCATCACCCATATCACTTACTCGTAGTCCAGACTCTCAAGGTTGTCACGTGTTGTCGTGACACGTCGCCTGCTGCTCCTCCCCTCCTTCCCACTGTCCCGCCCCTCACCGCCACTGCTCCTCCCACTGCCGCTCCCACGGCCGCCCAATGCGCTATCCAACGAAAATGCATCCACATGCAATGTTAACCCCGCTTGCTCCTCCTCCCCCCCCTTAGTAACTCCCTTCTGTCCTAGCAGGCTTTGGGTGTCATCACTAATATTCCCCTCGAAAATGGAGGGAATTTCCAATGTTGGTATTCCGGCCTCCAGCCCTTCCAGTCCCTCCAGGCCTTCCGGCCGTTCTCGCCGGAATCCTGTCTCGAGAAAACCGTCAGTTTGGACAACGTCAGATTCTGCAGGGTCGTGGCCAAGTTGAAGGAAACCGTCGGAGTGAACGGCTAGCCGTCGGGATTCATCCGACAGAAGTGGCTGCTCGACGTCATCAGTGATCTCGACTGTCGATGCTCTGGTAACAATGACGACTATGACTTCCAGGCGGGCCGCGCCGCGCCGCTAACAATGCTTCAGCGCGCGGGAAACCGGAAAAGGGCGCGCGCTTATAATGCTCTAACGAGGGGCTGTCCGCGACGAAAAAGGGGTGCGCGCGGAAAATGTTAAAACGCGCGGAGATCCGCGATGGGAACGGCCGAGTCCAGCCACGATCGATGAGTCACTGGACCTCCGTCTTTCCGTTAGCACCACTAACAGTGTTCAACACTAAGTTAGTGTTGCCGCTCAGAACAGCGCGCGCAAGCCGTCGCCTTCGCCAGCATCTTGAAGGATTGATAAACGCAGTGAACGACGATCAGTGCTCAATCACCCTCTCGCGAATGCTACTAGCCTCGCGGACTCGCAAAAGAGACGACAAGTCGAGTCGTGGCTGCGCGTCTGGATTCTGAAACTGTGCAGGAAACGTCAAGCCACGTGGCGACGTTAGCAACTTCGAAATCGTTGTCGTCATTAGTGACGATCGCCGGCCGGACTGACGGACGGAGTGAACGGCGCGAGTGAGGAGAGAGACGAAGAGAAAGGCGCAGCAGCAGCAGCAAAGCCCCGATTCATCATATACACTACGGATGACGAGGGGATCGATCGTCTGTCAAATGGCAGTGGAGTGGCACACGCACGCTCCGCACGCGTTCATTCGCTTCGCTTCGTTTCGCATCCATTGCATCCTACTGCACCCTCCCCAATGCCACCCCCACCATGGTGACGTCACGTCATCATCCGCGGCAGCATCCATGGAGCGGAGCGCGGAAATCCAGCCGCCGCAGAGACGCCGCACCTGCTGCTTCTTAGGGATTGTGGACGGGCAGGATAAATTGCTGCTTTGCGCGCTGCGAATGAAGGAAACGCGTGGCGGGGGGAACTCCCTGGAGAGACAGCGGAAATTGGTTTCCGCAGTTCCTGCGTCGCGCAACCCTCTGTTGGGAAATCTACTAGGCTGGCGCAACCCATGCTTTCTGCAACCCCTTTGTCGCGCAATTCTCTGCACTGGCGCAACCCCTGATTTCCGCAGCGCCCGTTACGCAGGGGGGCGGCTGCACAACTTCTGGTTAACAGGGGGGTTGGGCGGGGAGGGCCAAAGGAGGGGAGGGCCAAAGGCGGGGAGGGCCAAAGGCGGGGAGGGCCAAAGGCGGGGAGGGCCAAAGGCGGGGAGGGCCAAAGGCGGGGAGGGCCAAAGGCGGGGAGGGCCAAAGGCGGGGAGGGCCAGCCCACGCGCGACTCGTCTGGATGCAATGGAAGGCGCTTGATGACTGGATGCTCCGCAGCGGGCTCCAGACTTCTGACTAACTGCAAGGAGTAGTTCATTAGACATACAAGTGTCGGTCCGATTTGGTACAAAGGCTTACGCACTAACAGCAATGCGAATACTGGTATGGAGGAGAAAATTGAGAAATATATGATACCAACATTTATAGGGAACTTGGTCCCAGGACCTATCAAGTCTGCCGCTCCCGACTCAATAATGGAGACAGCTAACCAGAATCATTTCTACCGTATCTTGTTGCACTTACCCATAAACAATTTACCGTAAGCCCCCGGATATAAGCGCAGGCCTCGGATAAGCGCCGGCGCTTATAAAATGATGGCGGCGCTTATATCCGGTCCTCGATTATAAGCCCACCCCTGAAGGCTTACGGATTATAAGTGTCACCCTCTGTTTGTTTTTGCTATAATTGTACTCAGGGCCTCAGATTCGTTTTGGCGTAGGCTGACTGGTCAAACTTAGGAGTGTGTCCATGGCTGATCGATCAGTGGTGTTGTAATAAAAAAACCTGACTTTTCAGACAGTATATCGGAAAAAAAACTGAACGATCAGCGTCACCATTTGGTAAAGCCTGATCCATTTTTCCCAGACAAGACAAGAAGACACCTATTTTACAAGTTTTGCATTGATATATCAAACGATTACATTAAATCTAGTGAAACATGTCATCATCATCCTCTTCATCATCATCATCATCCTCTTCACTATCGCTAGAGCCTAAAGCATCTACAGCACAGGGTTCATCTACTTGCATAGCTGCCGTTGCTTTTCCCTTCTTGCTACATTCACCTGGGGATGGGGTGGAAATTGGGGCATTATAAAATGGCTTCCTTTTCCTGTAGCTCCTCCAGATCTCGACCACCTCGTCGTACTGAGGCTCGTACGGCATCAGAGACATGCACATCAAGTCCCCCAGCCTTGCATCCTTGAGGCCACTCCGCAGCCAAGACTTGATCACGTTCTGGCGAGAGAAGCCCCGTTCGCACTCCACACTGCTAAGGGGAATCACCGCCACGGCTACCCACAGCTGCACGAGGTTGGGGTAGCTCTCCCGCCAGTCCGAAGTCTTCAAAATTGCGGTGAGGCCATCGTGGAAAGTCCTCTCCCCCTTCGGTGCAGCGGCACGGACAGAGCAGAACAACCGAAGCTCCTTGTGGGCCTGCCGCTTGTTGATCCCTGGCAGGGACATAACACAAGTGGATGTATTGGGAAACAATGCATGAGTTCACGCGCTGAGCTCGAGAAACAATAGCATGGCAGTGAGACTATCAAAACCCAAAACATAACTCACCTGGCAGTATGTCTTCTGCCGCGTGCGCCTTGAACAGCGTCACCAGCGAGTTCAGCCACTCGACGCATCGTGCATGACGCTCCGACTTGCTCTTCGGCCACTCATCCGGCAGGAACAGACGGACACCAGACAGAGAGTCTAAGTCACTCAGCCTCCTCTCCAGGTTCCCCACGATTCGTTCAGCAAAGTCGGTGCAGACCTCAACGCAGGCGTCGTGATCACAGGGGCCTTCGTAGCCCTTGACTTTCTCTTCATGGAGCTCGAACACGAATGTTGACGGTCTGCCATCGGAATCAGGCCCCTCCACAGTCACTTCGCGTTCCTTTCCTGGGCCGTAGCGCTCGATGAAGGGCGAAAGCCAGCGGCTCAAGCCTCCACCGAAGTCGTCCCCACAGTCAACATATCGGCTCTCGATATGTGACGTGGTGCGCTTGATCTGAGCGTGCAGAGACACAAGGTCCAGTTGCAATCATCAGACACAATAGAAGACACTGTCAGCCGTGTTTACCAAAGTAGGAAAGGGTATCATGGGGAAACGCAAACACAACATTACCTGGCGCTGCTGAAAGGTCTTGTTCAGGAAGTTCAACTGCTCAAGCACATCAGCAAGAAAGTACATGAAGAAGTGGAACCGGTAGGATGTGGCGAGCAAAAACATGGCGGCGTGGAACTCTTTCAGAAAAACAATGACAGCTGGCCATACTGCCAGGATGCGAAGCAACGCATCCCCCCGAGAGAGCCACCGGACTTGATGGATGCCCTGGACTTCCAAGCTGGTCTCGGTGAAAAGCTCCTGGAGGTCCATGAAGCGCTGGTGCTTCGGGCCGGACCG